AAGTAAGTAAGTAAGTACTATAAGCAAGTAAGTAAGTAAGTAATATAAGTAAGTAAGTAAGTAAGTAAGTAAGTAAGTAAGTAAGTACTATAAGTAAGTAAGTAAGTAAGTAAATACTGTAAGTAAGTAAGTAAATAAGTAAGTAAGTACTATAAGCAAGTAAATAAGTAAATAAGTAAGTAAGTAAGTACTATGGGTAAGTAAGTAAGTACTATAAGTAAGTAAGTAAGTACTATAAGTAAGTAAGTAAGTAAATAAGTAAGTAAGTAAGTAAATAAATAATTAAATAAACAAACAAATGTATTAAAATGACTGGGTAGATGTGTGTAAGTGTAAAATTGCATTATCTCATTCATGTTCATGTCAATAAACTGTTCTATGAGGTCTTGGTGTTTTTGGTGTAAAAGTGCATTTTGTGTTCACAAACATTAAAAAAATAAATAAATTCAACCCCTTAACTTTGTGCTCATGCCAGATGAATGAACTTATGATAGGAACATCATACCTTTAGTGTTTTTATTCCAACACTGAATACCTTTCCTATGGTCATCCTAGCAGATCTGTAGATGTCCCTTTGTCTCTACAGAAAGGAACAATATTTGAGAGTGCAGTGCTCTGTGGTGGATCTGAACGTCAGAGAAGCAGGAGTTTCTGAGAAAAGTTGTTTGTTATWTTAGACTGGTCAGCAGGAGTCAGCCTTTCGCAGCAGGACTGAGACGGAGCRAGCTGACAGCTACTGAACAGCTGGGTAAAAGGGAGTTGTAGTGATTCTTTTTATCTCAGTGTCAGTGTTCCTGTCAGTTTCACAGCTTCAATGTAAGAGACACTGTTTTTTTATTTTTTAGGCGGGGGGCCGCACCTACCACAGGCCACTGCGAGTGCACACTCAACAAAAAGTTGCACATCTTACTCAGGCATCGTCTTTACTTCTAGCAATCATCTGTGTTTTGAGTGGCCGGTTTTGTCTRCAGAACCAGCTTCCCAATATTACGGCCCAAAGGGAACTTGACTCTCCCACTGCTTCTGCATAGGTTGATGGATGGTGTGACATATTGGATTCAATGCTGATAGAAAGAATCAACAYGTAATTAACATCCCCACCCTTTTCATTATGAAAGGAGTGAGAAAATCAATCATCAGTCATTGCTGTGTGGTGTTTTTAATTATCTAATGCTCCTGTGAATTTCCATAAAGAGAAACACAACTGTTGCTTGGGCTGCCTACATCACTCCATCCCATCCAACTTAACTGGTTCCACATTTAATCTGCTCAAACCCTCTGAATAATCCTCAGCGGCGATCTGATACGCTTAGGACGAGCTCCACTCACCCATCACGGCCAGAGCTGTGCCTTTGGCTAACTCCCTCTTCAGAGTCTCCATCACTTCCAACCCGCTGCCRTCCAGATTGCACCTGTTGATTGTGCCATTGGCCGAGCTTATCCAGTAAAGCTTGCTGGCAGCGTAGTCTATTGAGACACCTGGGAAGAAGACAAGCAAAAAGCTTTGCGCTCAATATGCTGAGACTTGACGTAAAAAATGGCACTGAGATTAAAAAAAAAGATAAAAATAGGAACTGAATATCAAAATAACAAAAAAAGATAAACTTAGTTTAATGATCACTATTGAAATAATTATAATTATAAATGACAATAAAAAAGAAAATCTTAATACTCTCAGACACTGAATATACTTGAGTAGAATTACAACAGCACATCTCAGAGCTGCAATAACTTCATCGTTTACATTCTGTTGTTCCTATGCACTTGGTTATGAGGGCTTATAAAATGTTTATGTGTGTTCCCAGTCTTTGTGGGAGATCACTTAAAAAGAACTCCAGCAGGCATGACAAATGAACAGGAATGAAAAGTGACTGCTTTTCAATCCATTCCCTGGATGGCTGATTTTATTTTTTTATTTTTTTATATTTTTTTGAAAAGAACATCCCTGTTAATATTTGGAGCTGAAAGCAATTTCACTTGTGTACCTCTGGACATCTCACTGTCTCCCACCATGTGTTGGATTTATGTCTGGCAGATTCACAGTCACAATGCATCATTAATTTACTCTTGTCCCCAGGTCTACCCCATAATCATAAATGAAACCAGTGAAATACAGAGCACCCTGCTATCTGTAGTGCTGACAGGCCTACGAGGATGAAGAATTGCAGCAGAGACAAAGCTGCTCTCTGTGACAAATGGAAAGTTTGACCTTGAGCTATGTGTAACAACAGCTACTAGAGATGACGACTAGATGATTGTTTTTTTTTTTTGCTAAATCAAGGCACATTTGCAACCTATTTAATTACGACTCATGTCTRGTAAAATGTTCACCAGACAGACTTATAACAGACCTTTCTGCAGAGCCAAAGCTATTTTAATTTAGAAATTTATATTCCCAGAAAGTGAGGGACAATGTTGCTCGTCTGTACAAGACTGACACAGACCTACAGGATCCCTCTGATTCTGATGCAGAACTTTGCTGTTGCTCCCATCCATGTTGGCCATGTTAATGGTGTTGCCATCTGTCCAATAGATTTTCCTGTATGGGACAGTATAAAGTATTTGAAATAGTTACTACAGCAGTATATATTTTAATTTTTTTTTATGTACAAAATAACATGAAATTGAAAAAGATGATAGATAGATAGATAGATAGATAGATAGATAGATAGATAGATAGATAGATAGATAGATAGATAGATAGATA